AATCATTATCATGATTGTATATTTTTATAAAATTAAAAAAGCATAATTAAAGAAAATGAAATCTAAATTGTGGAATTTTAATGGTACAAGTGTATCCATTCATATTTTTAATTATAAATATATAATTTCTGAATTAAAATATATTTTTATATACTTTGATAAAATAAAACAAAAATATATTTAAATAAAAAGAAAACTATACTTGGGATAGCAGAGGTCAAGGGCATGAAACCTTCGTAATGTTATAAAAAGTATATAATAATAATCGAATAAAATTAAATAATTGAGTGAACCTATAAACTAAAGAACCCGAATTTTAATTTTTATAAGGAAATAGTATCACTAAAATATTTTTGGAAGAGTTATCTCCATTTAGGCTTGATAATAGTTGAATTCAATCTTGTATCAACAGATATCATATGTTAAAAGAGGAAAATATAACATAACCTATCTATGCAGTAGAAATATAACGTTTAAACTAGTGTTCATTTTAAAAATATATATATATATATATATATCAATATTATTTATTCTGTAATATTGTGTTTAAAAATATATATAAATAATAACAATGAAATTAATTCATTCTTTTAAAAATTTATTTTCTATATAAGAAAATTTACTTTATCAAATAAATCTGCCATTTTTTAATTTAAAAAGTAACTAACAATATGCAACAATCAATATAAAAGTCATACTATTTAAAGGAGTTCAAAATCAATCCAAACCAATCATAAGAAATCAAATCAACCTGAATTGAGATGAACCGGTCAAAACTAATCATAAATGAGGTTTATTTTCATTTTTCTTTTGATAAAACTAATTGATTTGATTTGGTTTAGGCTTTTGCTTCTAAAAACTTGAACCAAACTGAACCAAATTTATTATATTTATTATATATATATTTTATAAAATTTTTAAGGTTTTTTTTTTCTTTTTTCAAGTTTTGTTATTTGTAAATCATTAGCAAAAATAAGTTACAATTAGCTAAATATTATTCATCATTTATTTAAGATAATTTTTTAATTTTATAATCAAGTGTTTTAAAGACAATACATTAATTTTTAATAGTTGAATATGCTAATTAATAGTTAAAAAATATATTCTTTTGTACTCAAGAGATTTTTTATTAGAAATAATAATTAATATTTAAAAATTATCAATGAACATCAATATATTTGATGATTATGAATAATGTCTCATTAAAAAAGTTCCAACTTAATTAAGACCTAAACCAAACCAATCAAAAATCGAACCAAATTGATTAAAGAAAAAAACTGAATAGGTTTCATACTGTAGTGAATCGATTGGTTCGGTTTGATTTGTTTTTAAACTGAACATGTGAACATCCTTAATACTATTTGTATTTAGGAGTGATGCTAAAATATGTCTAGTTTTATATTATATAGCAAAATAAGTATTACTTAATATAAAATAACTATACTTATGTCTTTTTGGAAAATTTCTTTGAAAAAATGACAATAAAATCCATTTGTAATATATAAATGATAATTTATTTTCTCAAAATGTCATAATTTTCTTGAAGTCCTTTAGAATTTTTTTGTCATTAATGAATTTATATAAATTATCAAATCTTCCTTGTTGAAAATAAATAATTCATAAATTTTATTTAAATATTCACAACACTTTTTCTTATATTTATAACAATATAACAGTAAATAAAAAATTTGATATATGAAATTATAATTTGTTGTTGCATTGTTGTAAATATAAGAATAAAAGTTGGGAATATTTAAACAAAACTTGTGAATCATTTATTTTGAACAACGATAATTTGATAATTTATATAAATTCATTAATAATAAAAAAGTCTCTAGAGACTTCAAGAAAATTATTACATTTCAATAGATTAAATTATTGTTTATATATTTTAGAGGAATTTTGTTATCATTTTTTCAATTTTTTTGAAGTATTAAAGGAAAATTGATTATATATTTCCATGTCTGATCTCCAACAATAAAGTGACTAATTTACTTCAATTTTTTTTTGAATACAAGGCCATGATAAAAATATCATGCAAATAGATCAAGGTCAGGTTATATCAGAAGACATAATGCTTCTATAATCTATTAGGACATCATTAAATAGAATAGTTTCAAAGTGTTCGCTAGAGACTTTATGGGCTAGAAGATCAGTACAGTAGTTTACTTTTTTGTGAACGTATTTTAGAGTGACCTCCCAACTCCTCATAACGAAATTTCTAATGCTTTTAATAATTTCTGAAAATAAATGATTCTGAATTAAAAATCATTAATGAAGGATATGACTTTCATGAAGCTAGTATAAACGTTGATTTTTGAAATCTTTACATTTCAACGGATGTTTAACCTTCTAGAATTTCCATAGTTAGTGCTTAGTGGTTAAAACTATTTCCATCCTCAGGGGCCCATATGTTCACGAAGACATTGGGACGTACACAGGGAGGTAGGTGCGAAGCTAAACAGCCACTCACTCATCTCGAGCCACGCATGCCTATACAGCTAATATATGCGAAGTATCTGGATTGGCAGCTTTACATGCAAGGCACCAATACTTAATACTTTACTCCGCCCAAAAAAATAAATAAATAAATAAAAAGCATTACTACTGCCTCTCACAGAATGACTCCTCTAGACAAAAATTCGTTTCATTTTCTTTTTGTCTTATAAATTCAATTCAACATTTATATACATTTTTCTACAACATTCCTTTATTTACTTCAACATTTTTAAAAATTTTACTAAGCTTTATGGACAAATTTAGCAATAAAGCCAATATTTTTATATACTTCTTTCATTAAAAAATGAAAGATATTTTATAAAAAATTAAATGTTAAAAAATATAAAGTATTTTTAATTTTTTGAGGTATAATTATTGCTTTTTTAAAAGTGTCACTGTTGATAATGACTTTATATTTATTGTATGATGTTTAATAGAGGTAAATATAAAAAAATAAAATTAAATTGAAAGTAGGCAACTACTTTATTGAAGGGTAAAATTTAATTAAAAATGCCTTACATTTTTTAATGGAGAGAGTATTAATGATATTTTTATTTTGTGTTCAGATGCCTTAAAAACCCCCTGAGACAAAGGGATTAGCTTACCATACTTCACTACCCCGTCTATTTAAATATTTAAGACATTTTTTTAGAGGTTATATATTAAAAAATATAAGACATTTATAATATTTTAAGAGGTAATCACTACATTTTTTTCAAATACTTATAATGAATAAATTACTTTGTATTTATTTTAAAGTAAAATATTTTATTAAATAGAAATAAATATAAAAATAATATTAATTTAAAAATAAATAAATATTTTATTAATAATAAGATTTGATTAAAAATATATTTTTTAAATTGAAAAAATATTACTGTATCCTTTCATCCCAAAAAAAAAAAAAAATTACCTATCCAGTGGCACGCCATTACCATTCGTAACACACTCTCCTAACCCTAACCCAACGATTTTCCTTTTCCACCCCGGCCAGGTGTCAGCTTTGGGATCCCCAACCCCTATCCTTTCTCTTACAACTAAACTTCATTTATTCACCATCCACCATCACTTGATTTCCTTACATGTATCGCTTCAAATGTCTTTTCCATCTTTCGAAAAATATTGACTTTCTTCCCAATAATATATTCAAAACAATATAAAACTCTCCATTGACTTGTGCATGATTCACGACTTGGCACCATTTCAAATATGCCTCGTTAACTTTGCGTACGTTTATCTTGCAACATTACTCAATTTTTTGTTAATACCTCCTAAATATTAAATTATAAAATATTTTTAAATGAAATCTCACTTATCAATAAACTTTATTAAATATACTTAACAATTTTAATTTTTTTAAAATAAAATTATAAACTTATAAAAATACCCTTCATTTAATAATCTTAAATCTATACCTAATTAATATGAAAATAGATAGAGAAAAAATAATATTAAAATTAATTTATTTAATGAAACCTTAATCTTTTTAAAATTTTTTATACTTTAAGATGATAAATTTATCTTAAAAGTGTCTTATAATTTAAAATGGAGGGAGTATTATTTAATTGCCTCACAGGTCCTTATTTCAAGCCACTAAATTTATTACTTCTCTAATCCTATTTATAAATCACTCCAAACATATTTTATTAGTACAAAAAAAATTAAAACTTATTAACTCTATCTTAAAATTTAATAAGTTATCAATGTTGTCCCTATTAAATATACACACTTTAATAACATATTTTCTCTCTTCAACATTCAATGGACAATAAAAAATTATAATAAAAATTTAATGACGTGACATATAAATAGGATTACAATTTTTTTCTTTCTCTATTATATAAATAAGACCTGAGGGAGTATATAATTATACGTTGTACCTTTGGCAGGCCTTGATTATTTGGACGTTTATATATATATAGCCTGCAATTATAATTCACAATTTTTGTTCATCATGCTCATGTCCTCGGGCTCATTTTGTTGCTAGATGATATAGTTAATGTTTTTAAAGATGATATTAAACAACATAAATAATTTAACCATCTCTTTTTGATTGATTTTCATGATATGGTTTGAGGTGATTTATATATAGAATTGGAAAAAGTACATGACCACCTATCAGGATGTATTTTAAAAAAATTTCAAAATAAGAAAAGAATAATAATTTTTTTAATTAATTATTCGTGAGTTGTGAATGTTATATGTTACATATGGACATTGTCTACATTGTACAATGCTATATTCTACCGGCGACATCTCTTATCCTACATCGTGTATTTAAAATGACCGTACACTTTGTAATTTTTTTCCCTTGCTTAGTGCACGCACCTGTACCTGCACCATGTGATCAAGATCGAAAGACGACATAATGGCAGTGTTATGAAAATTTCAACATAATTGAAGGGCGAAATGGTAAGAAAAGAGACTGAGTCCCAGATAAGAGACACACCATTTTCTCTATAAATAAGTTCCAAAACCCATCTCCCCAGGAGAACATATCAGTCAACACTGATCTTCGGAGGGAGAAGGTGACACCCAACACCATTAATTATGAATAGTCAGCATCCTAGTGAAGCTCATATGGCCCTCTTCTCTCACCTATGCCCAGCTGGTTCATACACTCAAATCATCCCTCAACAAGGTTAATTACCGGCTCTTCTTGTTAACGTTTTGCTTTTTTTTTTTTTTTTTTGCATCCATCAGTACAATAGCGTTGTTTATGTTTGATGTTGTTGTCTGATATATATGTTCAGGGGAAGCGAAACGAAGACGACGTCGTAAGAAGGAGAAAAACCAAGCTGTGGGTACCAAGAAGAGGAAGCTAAGCGAAGAGCAAGCGAGTTTTCTGGAGCTAAACTTCGGGAACGAACATAAATTAGAGTCGGAGAGAAAGGACAGGCTGGCATCGGAGCTTGGCCTGGATCCTCGTCAAGTGGCCGTGTGGTTTCAAAACAGAAGGGCTCGTTGGAAGAATCAGAAGTTGGAGGAAGCCTACTCCAACCTCAAGAAACTCCACGAAACCACCCTCCTCGAGAAAGCCCACCTTGAAACTGAGGTACGCATGTTTTTTTGTTTTAATCTACTTCTCAACTTGATTCGATTAACATGCTCTGGATTCTGAGTTAATCAGTATATGAGGTAATGTTTAAGGTATTGCTTTAGAAAAAGAATCACGAGTTAAAGCACTCTGGCGGTACTCTTTCCTTGAAAAAAAAATAATAATAATAAAGAATAACAAAAAACGAGAAAGAGATAGTGCGCTGTCTGTAAACTGTATAGTCCAAAAGTGAGACGTTTAATTTTTTTTTATTGGTCTTCCTTTTATCCAATCAGAGGCAACGGAGAGAGCCATTTACTTTCTCACGTTTTATTATACTTTAGTACCTGAAATCTTGATGGATAACTATGATTGATGTCGCTCTTGCACACCTTGAGCTTGAGTTCATAAAGGGCAGAATTGAACCAAAAAGAAAAACAAGGAATTGGATAACCAACCCTACTGAGATAGAGTCCGGTAACGGTGTTAAAATTTCATGATACAGCTCATGCTTGAAAGGATCCGTGAATACTTGATCCGGATTAGTTCAGACAGATACTGTTAAATCCATTCATCTTGATGTAGGTCAGGTCTAAAAACAACGAGTGTCCAATCAAATTTTTTTTAAAAAAATGACCCCACTGTATATGAACGTGGATGAGCTCTGGGCTCGAAGAAAGCCTAGTCGCCTTGTTCGGTTGTTTGCCATTAAAAATGGCACAAAAAGATAGGGGGACAGTTTTTTTTAAAAGGATAGTTTGATGAGGAACAGCATACTGCCACCTTACCAGGCAGCAAAATGCACTGTGTTTTAATCATAGAAAATCCGTACAACGTTAAAGTGGCACAGTTTGGGCTTTCCTCAGGCCCAGTTAATTCTGAGGCACTTGGCAGGCGACACTTGTCACCCACTCGCATATATCCCAAAGTGAGGGGATAATTGGCCTTGCATGTTAACCGCAGATGATGGAATTTACGTGTGTACCCTTGCCTTTGGCCTCTGTACTTTTGACTGAACTTTTAGGCTTGAATAATGCCAGGTGTCGAAGCTGAAAGAGCAGCTTTCAGGAGCAGAGAAGGAGATCCAGAGGCTGTTGGAGCGAGGCGAGAGATCAGTGTCAAACGAAACCGCGAATAGCCCGAGTTCAACGCACACAATGGAAGCTATGGACCCACTGTTTTTGGGGGAATTCGGAGTCGAATGTTTTGATGACGATGATTTCTTGTTATACCCAACAGATTATTACATGAATTGCTTGGAATGGCTCAGTTTGTACATGTGAAACGCAAAGAATTTGTAGCTTGTAGCTCTTATATATGTGGTTACTGATAATCAATGATCCATTATATCTAAATGTAACTGCCTCGCCAAGTGGCATAGTTAGTTAGTGTATTGTATGTGCTTGACTATGATTTGGGATAATGTAAAATTATGAATTGCCTTTTTTAACTCCAAGTTGCACTTTTTTGTGTGGGCCCCCGAATGTCATGTCAATATATAAAATATCAAAAAGTATATGAAAATGAATTATTCACAAACTATGATGAACAATACTAATTAGACTATGTGCAAATGAACTTTGCCCTAACTTTTATTCATATATATTGAAAGAACAAGTAAACGAAAACAACTAGATATCAGAGCTAAGCTGGACGTTTTCCTTAATTTAACTCACTTATATAGATCCATACTTTTTCACCAATTTCTTTAGGGTGAACAAGGGCACATAAATCAAAAGTTCAAATGTTAAACATTATAACCATCAACCACCCTGATCTCTTCTGTTTTTTTTTTTTTTGGGGGGGGGGGGGTGGGGGCGCTCGGGGTGCAATGTATAGTCTAAGAGATTCTGGACTATGACATCCGTAAAGGAATAGTCCTTTTTCTTCTTTTTTTAAAATGCAACAACAAAAGTCTTGTTGAGTTTGCTTTCATCTGTCTTGCCATATTTACACACACACACACACATGCAAACGACGTGTCCTTCTTATGTGAAGCTATCACGCTCTCTCCCCCTCCCCCTCCCCCCTTCCCTCTCTCATATATGATATTGCCTTAAGTAGATAAGATCCAATCATTTTTCACACAAATATAAAGTTACTATTTGAGATAATGCTTCATCATTCGTAATTAGCAGGGAGGCATAGAGAATAACATACATTTAATATTATGGGAGGTGATTAAAGTGCTTGAAGCCGCCTTGAACGTTGACAAAAAGATAGCTAGGATTAAATAATTAGCAGCTGCTGGTTAGAAGTTTAACTCACTTATTCATGAGTTTTGTGTTGATACTTGATGGTATTGCTGTGGTACATAAAATTACGCGAAAAAAATGTGTACTTTTTAATCTCTAGAGTTGTAGTCAACTTACATCAAGATATCTCGTAATTTTTTCAAGGAACCAATCTCCAAAGTTACAGTTAACTTTGGTTAAAATCTTTAGTGTTACTATGAATCCTTACCATATCAGTGACACATTATTGCCACATAACATGTCATTTCCAGGGACTGTAACCATGACTAATTGTCGTTTTAGGGATTGATCATTGTTTAGTTCAAAAACTATATATATGTTAAACTAATTTACCATTAATAAAAATAAAAATCAGCTAATAAAAATTAAAATTAATCCTGCCAAAAGCTAATAATAAAGAGTATGCCGTGTGTCTTGCATTAAATAATTGACTCTCCATTTAAGTGAATTATTGTTTTTTTTGCCAGTGTTTTAAAATAACTATTGAGTATGTGAATAAATTGGTTTCTCAGTTTCACAGGTATCATTACAAAAAATGCAGACTTTTGGCAGCAACTAGTCTAAAAGTCACCGGTAAAAGTTTTTAGCAGTGATTTTTCGCCACCAAAATGTCATCACTATAGCAACTGTCACGAATAGTTTTTTGCGGCGATAATATAAAGTAGACCTTTAACAGTGACAAAGGTAATACAATCATTACAAAAAATTGACTTCTTGTTCTTATGAAACGACAAAAAGTCATCGCAATGTTATCGTGAGAACTCTTGTTACTAATTCTATCTGTGGTGACAATACAAACTGCTGCTAAAAACATTCAATTAGCAGAAAATTTGTCACTACTAAAAGTTGGGAATCGACAATGACAAATATCACCGTAGGAACTACACAGGCCACAGAATGTTGAGTATTAGCAGTGACTTTTGTCATAGTAGAAACTACCAATTCTCAATAGCAATTTTTTTTGTTGCCATTGAAAAGTAATGCTAGTTCGCCATGTCACCCTCCTACTCCCATATAGTGCCACATCACGTGCCACATATCACCTATGTTACCCTCCATATGACAACATGTCGTTCTCCACTTGTTGCCCCCATCTTGCATCATGTGTTATTATGTTATCAATTTATATTTTCATTTTACAAATTGCTCATTTAAGTTTTGAACACATGACCTCTTCCTTTTGTGTCTTACTATTTTGCGCTGAGCTGGAATAAATCCACAACTTATTATCGCATAACTAAACATATATTATTAATCTAAAAAAACGTACATATATCTTAAATATTAAATATTATAAAATATTATTATTATTATCATTAAATACTTCAATTTAATTATTTTAATTTATTAAAATTAAAAATTATATTATTTATTTTGTCTAAAATAAACTACAAATATAATTGATACAATAGCATTTTTATTATTTATTTTAATATTCATATTTATAATTATAATATAAAAATATCTAAGAATAAATAATAAAAATATAGATGACTATACATTAGACTATAATTATTTATTTTTCAAGCTAGTTTTATTTAAAATTTTATTTTTACTTTTAATTAAGAATAACTCTTAAGTAATGTAATTGGCTTGTTTTTACATTATATTTTAATTTTTTAATTAGTTTCATTTTTAAATTATAATTCTATAAGAAAATTATATACTATATTATCTATTTTTTTATATTTATGTTGTAAGATAACATCAAACAAAAAAAAAATCATATAGCATCACATATATAGATATATTTCATATATTGTAAAAGTTAAAAGTAGAATTTCAAAATATCTTATTTCTTTTCTTTTCATCTTCCTCTTCTTTATCATTGGCCATCAAATTAGGAACATCTAAACTAGTATCAAACTTTAAAATTACCAATATTAAATGTAAAGTTTGAATTAAAAAAATAGATTAGATAAAATATCATTTTGTGAATGAATAAATTTAACTATCACATATTTAATTATTATAAACAAGTAGTATTATTGTTTAAAATATCAATTTAATCATAAAATATTTAAAAATAAAGACTCATCATCACATTATATGCATTTCAAATTAAAATGTCAAACATTACGTTTTTGAACGAATTTATCACCAAACTGGCCTCAATAGTTGAATCGAATCAAACCAAACATTACTAGGTAACAAATTGACATAAAATAATACGGTTTGACTCAATACTTTAATCCAAATCATTAGCATTAAATAATACCTTAACCTTATTTTAAAATAATTTTATTATTTTAAAGTTATAATTTAACCATAAAATGTATTGAATGAAAACTTTTTATGTTATTGTATATATTCATTATAAAATTACAATAATATAACAAAATTAATGCCTTAAAATGTTAAATATTAGATTAAAAAATAAAAAATTATAATGATAATACAAAAATTAAACTTTTAAAGGTGACTCAAAAAAGTCACTACTAATTGTGAACTTTTCGCAGTGACATAAAACTTAAACTTTTGGTAGTGACTTGCACTTGTCATTGTTGACAGTTTGACAATCAATGGCAACTATATTATCTTAATGTCAATAACAAGTAAAACAGTGAAAATAACCATCAATGTTTTATTTAAAAGCATAACTATATTTTGATAAATTATTTTATATGAATGAAAGGGACTATAAATAATTATTTTTCGTCAAAAGAAAGACTGAGATGATAACAACATGAGAATACAATCATTAGGGGCATAAGCATGCACTTTGAATCCCCTCCCCTATCTTTGTTAAATTTTAGTGCACATATTTTTTTTAAAATATAATTAATATATTAATTTTTTAAAAAATATTATTCATTAAAATATTTTGATCATCAATTTGGTCTTGAATTGTTTAAACAATTAGAAAAATTGAAAAAAATTATTATGAAAATAATTTTGTAGATAAAAAACGGAGAGGGTACGTGATAATAATTATCCAAAGCGGGACCAAATGCGAAAATATTGCACCGAGAGAGTTCAACATCGTTTCATTTGTTTGGGCTGATAGTGGAGCGAAACATTGAAATTTTGGATCATATAAGAAGGAAGGAAGAAGTCTGGGCCTATCAGTAATATCGGAACAATGCTATATTGGGTCCACGAAAAACTGTTGTTTCTCAATTAGTTTTTGGTCCAGCAATCTGATTTCTTCCCGTTAAAGTCCCTAGTCTCATGCAACGTCATTAACTATCTAAAGTCCCTTGAAATCATGAAAATACGATGCAAATCCTATGGCCCTCAATTGTAAATAAGTGTTGGAAAAAACTTATTTTGACAAGTAATTCCAAAAAGCTGATAAGCTTTTTCTAACACAACTCTTATATGTTTAGCTTAAATTTTTTAAACTTTCCCGTACTATTCACAGCTTTTTTATGTTTAGCCTGATTAAGCTCACTTTTTTTTAATACAAAACAAACTGGCACTTCGAATCCATGCATAGCGGGGGCTCTGTAATTGTACATTAACCAACAAACTATATCTTTTTTGATCAAAACTCTTGTTCCCTTATTTCTGAAACCTTGCTGTGATTAAAATTCAATAGCATATGACAGGAGAGAGAATTTTTTTTTTTTTTAAAGAAAGTACTTGTAGATTACTTGCCAACGAGATTCTTATATCGTGGAAGGGGAATTAGAATCTCCATCCTTGCAAGATATGGATTGTGTCATTGCCAATTTGCTGGACCAACAATAATTCTGTTACATTATTATTTATTTCTACGTACATGAAATCTGGTAACTTTGTGTGGCTAATTTTGCGTATATTTCAGTTTGCCTTGCTTGAAGAGATTCGGTAGACTGAGTTTTTATTTTTCAACACATGAAAAGCAGTCATTCCCCCCCCCCCCCCAAAAAAAAAAAAAACCCAATGAAAACTCTCTCTGCCAGCTTTTCATCATCATGGCAAAGTTTTCTTAGGACACTCATGCAGTCGATGACAATTCTCCGTCTAGATTCAGATGCATGGTCCTAATATCTTGGTACATCTTTTAGCCTGGCTTCTGGTCAAACAGCTGTCTCTCTTTCTCACACAATTTTTTCTTTGTTTTACAATCTTTTTATCAAAATATAGCTTAAAACCATCTTGCAAAACTCTCCTCTAATCTGTATATTCTTAATCTGTCTTCTAATTATGTATAAGATGCAAGACTTAAATAGGTGGATGCTAGAAGCGCTTTTGGTTGTGTTCAATATAATTCGCTGTAATTGTAGGCGGGTATTATAAGCCATTGAATCTCAACAATTTAAAAGGTATAAACACAGAAGAACTTGAAGAAACAATTGTATAGCTGAAGGGTTCATGCTCAATTATATATGAAATAATGCGCCTGGGATACTGAGGAAGATGCTCGTGATGTTTGACAGGATATCTTTTACCCATGCGGATCTTGAATGTGTGATCATGTCGCTGCAAAAGAATGGAAGACGATCCAAGATAATGCTTCTATTCCATATGCACTGAATATGCCTTTATTCATGAGCTCTCATTTTCTGCTTAATTTCTTTAATTCATAACTTTTCTAAAAAAGTTAAAGCAACATTCCATTGGAAAACCAGCAACCCCAGTTTATCACGCTTCATTCAACTAAGACGACGAGGGCCAGCCACGTGCCACGCATCTACGAATTTCGTTTGCTCGATCATGATCTCTAACCGTTGCTAGGATGTTCATCTTGGATGCTTGAGAGTGCTCATTAGGGTAATAAAATCTGAATCATCTAAATTTTAATTTAAATGATTCAAATTTAAGATATTATTTTATATTTATTAACATAAAAATTTATAAAATTAAAAAGTTAATAAATCTTTATTTTTCAAGTGTACTCCATACAGTTTAGATTTGTAATTTTTAAATTGTTGATAAAAAAATTTATTAATTTTTTTTATAAATGTTTATTTTAATAAATATAAAATAATACATTAAACCTAGATCATTTAAATTTTTGAATAGTTCAGATTTCATCAGTCTGAAAAACACTATGGTGCTCTTCAGGGTGGCAAGCACCCAAGGTAAATCTGACTTTTCTAACTCAACTTCTGCTATCCAAACAATTAAAAAAAGCTGAGGATTAAATACAAGTTATATATGTTTATGTACTTTTCAAGGTTTGTTTTCACCATGGAAAAATTATTCACCCCCACAATTGATTTCCATAACCTAATTAGTAACTAATACTTGATAAAACTAGTGCCGTTTAACCTTGTGAAGCTATCACATATGTTCTAACACCGCCATGCTGATGTGGCAACCATTGCCCGCTCGTGCCAGCAGAGCACCAGCTCAGCCTGCCTTTTTGCCACATGGAACCCTCGAATCTGAACTTTGGCCAGCAAGCACTCGGCCTGGAAATCAGCGAACTGGCTCAACTGCACCGGTCTCATTCCGGCCCCGTAAAACACCTCCCTCCATGGCGATACCATCCTTCCGGCTCCTTCCACCGCCGCCATGATCTGCGGACGCAGCAGAAACATCTCGATTCTTCTAACCCAATCGCCTCCTCCCCCCACCGCCGTTGACGCATCCAGCGACTCCAACATCATTGAGTAGAACTCGAGGCTGTTCACCACCCCCCGGCGAAACGACGTCGTTGCAGACGCCTCCGTCCACCCTTCACCATCTACAAATACAACCACGCTGGGGGAAATCCTTCGAACGTCAGACAAAAACGCCGCCATGTTGTTAGTTGAACCTAGACGGCGGAATATGGTGGGAGATAGTAGAACGGCCGACTTCTCTCCGTCCATGAACTTAACGGCCTTGAACGACATGGTCTCGAAGGTTCGCAGGGGTACAAACTCGATTTGGACCCGGATTCGGAGCTCGAGAGCAAACTGGTTCAGGTTCTCTCGTATCAACTTGCACTCGGCTGCGTATTCTTCCGGCACCAGGGCTGTGATTCGGAGCATGGGCGCGTTGATTTTACACGACTCGGCCTTCTCGGCGATCTCCTTCATCAGCGAAGCGTACTGAATTCCTAGACCGATGTCGAAGTCGATGATGTGAACAAAGGAAGAACCGTGAAGAGCTTCGAGGAGTGCTTGGTTGGTGGTGAAGATGGAGAACATGGGTATTGGGGAGATTCCAGAAAACGCCTTGAAGGTTTTGATGCTCTGCACGATTTCCAAAAGCGAGGAAACACGTGGAGTACGGTTTAACCCGGAGAGAAGAGATTGGAGGGCTTCTTTGAAATAAAACGCGGCTCTCTGGAGAGGCTTTCCGACGGGAGATCGTAGCCTCTGATTAAGCCGTTCCAGTATAGCCTGGGCGAGTTGAAGCTGGTTGGAGTCAAAGCAATCGGCCGCACGGATAAGCACTTCGATCAAATCAAAACCGTTATTGCTCCAATTGCCGTTAGGGTTGTACTCATAAACCAAATGATCCAAACCGTTAACGGTATATCCCAGATTCTGATTGGAGTAAATATCCGAGAGGCTGAAATCCTCAGAAGAATGATCGAAAAGTGGCGGGTCCTGTGAAGGAGGGAACTCAGGGAGAATGGGCACCTGAGGGTCACATGGATTTGGCAGAGGAATACTCTTCAAAGAGCTGTCATGCAAATCCAAGTCCTTCATAATGGAATCCCAATCCAGACTGTGAAACGCATGCTCGTCCACCTCCACGGAGTCCTCCGGCGGCTTCGACACGGACTCAATAACGGTGGAGTGATCCTTGGGAGGGCTAGGGCTCCGGCAGAGCTCGAGAACGGAGGTGGGCTCGTAGCACAAGGCAGGACTGATATGGGAAGGGCTACTGAGAGAAATATTTAGGGCGGTGTTGGTGGCCGCGGAGACGGCGGCGGTGTTGTTAGAGAGAGTGGGTTTCAGGGTGGCTTGGGGTGGTGAAGAAACGGGAACTCTCATCGCTAAGCGAATAAGCAAGGAAGGATATTGAAGGAGGGGCTAAGAAAAGAAGATATACCTATATGCTTCTAAATAGAGACGTTGTTGGAGTGGTTTTGGGAGCGAAAGTGAGATGGGAAGAGGAGGCTTTTGGGTGTGGTGGTGATGATGATGATGATGATGATCATATGGTGGTGCATGGTGGGGGCTGTTTTCTCTCTTTATCTTTGAGTTAGTGCACGTAAAAGGGAGTGTGGGGGCACATATCTGTGGGGCTTGCCGTGTGTGGGATCAATTAATAGTGTCAATGTAATGTATGACATGACCATGAATGCACGTTGTTCTCCATAATCAACTTGTGTGCGCCAGACACAACTCTTTCTATCTCCATGAAGCTTCAAGATGAAGCTCTAAAGCTATTGCCCCTCCACCTGTCGTCTTTTTGTTTGTTTTTTCTTTCTTTTTTTTTTTTCCTTCTTCAAATCAAACCTTTTTCTGAAATGATCGACAACTCCTAATTAAGTATAGGTCCTGTTACTCTGTTCTATTATCAAATCAAGTCTTTGGTAAATGTGCATCAAATTCTTCGATAGTACCAAATATTCATATTTAAAATTCTAAATTATATTGTTTATTGAAAAAAAAACTAATTAGTAATATATAATCGAACTTTTCGTTGAACTCGCACATGAAGAGGTTTTCTCTAGTATATTCATATCATATTGGTTACCCATGATCGAATTGTACAAAGCGCTTCATCTTGACTGCTATTTGGGTCTTTCATGAATCATTCAAATTAAAGATTCAGTATTATATATACTTATATCATTACAAGGGGAATGAAAACATCTTTGGGCTCTTCTGCAGGTTAATGGAGAGGAATGTAATAAAATGGAATGATTTATAGAAGAAAATGAACTAAAATAAACTTGTAGAATGGTAGAGATATGGAGGAGACAGAAAAATTAAAACTATGGGGCGATATAGAGGGGCAGGAATGTGATTTCCATAAATAAAGTTATCAATTCATATTCCCACCTTTCCATCTCACTCCAAGATTTTCGCCCTCTCTAAAATTTTTATCTTCGTATCAATACACAACTTTATTTTAGTCTATTTTGTTTTCTATTAACACTCCTTTTCCTTTCCATTCTATTCCGATAACTGAATAGGCCTTTTAGGAATAGCTAGTCACAGCCTACGTAGGAAAGAACAAATGATTGTTAGGAACGAGAAACACACGAGTAAGAGTAAGGAAAAGATTTCATATTTTAATTTAAAATCTCAAAACTTTAATTTATGAGGTTTTTTCCTACTTTATTATATATTAGCATTATGTCCAACTTTATCTATTATGGGGCTTCTTACTTTAACAAATCAAATAGAGAGCTAATTCCTTATAAAAATAATTTATATATTCTAGAGTTTAAAGTTTGTTTTTAGTAAAGTTAGTAAAAATAAGAGAACTACTCATACAAGTTTAGTCTTCATAGCACTTTTTCGTCGTTAAGTAGGCGTTACAAATTAAAGAAACTTTAGGAAATGTGAGTTGGGAAAGGAAAAATGTCAAAGGAGGATAGAATTGTGAAAAGACAAGAGTCAAATAATGAGCGTTAAAGTTGCAGTAGTGAAAATGGACCCACTAAAGGTTCTAAAATGAACCCCAAGGCAAGCGCACTAGCACCCTCCCAGTCCCATCTTTTTTCTTTATACCACAAAAAAGCCTTTGAGAAAGCTCCATTATTAACCACTTTCTATGTTGCCATGCTGCTCCTTTGCCTTCACCTCTCTCACGCTTCTCCAACTTTGCCTCTCATCTCAACTTTGGGTCAAGGATCCATCTAATGTGAAACGTTAAAAATAAAGAAAGGGCTCCAATATTTGTTCACGAATCTCAGCTTTTTTGACTTGCTCGCTATTTTTTTAAAATAAAGTGATCGGTGGTCTTTATGAGCAGTAAAAAAACGGTAGGATTCAGTATCTGTGTAATTGATGATATATATATATTACGTTAGGTTTGCCACTGCATGTTCCATTGAATCATGTCGATTCGTATGAAGAAAGTTTCATTAGCTTTATTCTTTCTGTGGAAATATGCACCCACTCCTGTGGCACTACTTTTATGACATCGATCGTCTTCATTCTACTGTTATAGCTAGCTTTTGTTTTATTTTCCCTCTTGTTTGACATTTTATTTCAACGATTCTTTCAGTTTAAAGCTCAATATCATTTCCGTCCTTTTGAGGGGATCTTTTTTAATAAAACATGGAAAGCAGTTTCATTACATCGTAATTAGCGTTTTTAGATAAATAACATCTTTGACATGAGCCCTTGATTTACATAATTATATATGCAAGAGCTTTACTTTATACACGAGTTTTATTTTTGCCTTTGATGATGAAGAAATGGTCTTCTCAACTGTTTTTTCCCCAACGGTTAATTAGAAAGGAGAAAAATTCCTAAGTTGAGAGATTTGTTTACATAATATAGGTTTGGTTTTCTCCAATGAATCAAATAATTCATGCGCAGGAAATTATTTTATAACTATAGTATGTATATGTGTGTGTGTGTGTGTATATATTACATAGAGCTTAAAATGTGAGTAAGACTTATTTAGAAGTGAATTTCAGAAGGGCCAGGCCAAATTACAATTTATAATTTTATAATTGTTGAGATAGAGATTTATTTTATTAATATATATTATCTATTAAGATTTATTGGGTTGATATTTAAGAAATATTTTAGGAGCTTTTGCACACACAGTCTATATTATAAAATCAAGTAAAAGAAATAGCCTATCATTTCTTACATTTAAAAATGAATTTGTTAATATTTAGATTATAATTAATTTATAAAACTGTCCTTTTTAATATCTTCTTTTTTTAAATACCAGGAAATTCAAAACACAAGAAATCTCTAGAACAAGAGAAACAAATGCGAGGGAGAAGACAAAACTCGACGTGATAGAGATGAATACAAGATAGCAAAGCAGTGTGAGTGAGTCACAGTTACGACGATGAGAGACAAATGCAAAGTGAGATACATCAATGGCACTCGAAAGAATGAAGCACGTCGACTGGAAATGGAGATATAGATTTATGATTTTTTTATTTTATTAGTTTAGGTATTTGATTCTCTATTATAAATTAAGAATTCAAAATTTTTTGTGAACTATATTTGATCTGTTTTAAGCAAATGATTATCTATTTTTTGTATTACTGATTTATAAAACTACATCATTGATATATGACTGTATATTAATTATAAATAAATTTATGTTTAATTGTCTGATTATGTTGATCCATGATAGTATGTCAGTGATATAATTTTATATATCATTGATATATAAGCCATATCAGCAAAAAATTACCAAGTTGTTTATCATTGATATGCAATATTGCATATCAATAATGGAGTTTCCTCTTCTATATCTAATGTCTTCCACATAATATGTGGGAAAATAGAGAGGGAGGGAGAGGAAAAGCTTTATGATGAAGATGATAATCTAGATAAATCAAATAAAAAATTCTAATAAAGAAAAGCACTTTACGAGAGATGGATATGATAATTCAAGAAAATTAAATCAAAAAATATGATGAAAAAAATATTTAGAAATGATAAATCAGAGAGGCACACACAATACAATTTTTGATAATAAAAATAAAAGATCCAGTCAGTTAAAGATTAGTTAAGCCAGATATATTCTGTTTTAATAATAAATTATTTTGAGGATAAAAAGAAAAAACAGATCTAATTGATTTTATGAATGGGCTATATTGTAAAATATTCAAAAACCTCAATCATAATTTATGGGAGTTGGATTTTTTGATGCCATTAAGCTAATTTTGTCAATATTTTATATTCATTAGATATTATTAAGATATTTATTTATTATTATTAGTTTCATTTATATATTGTAAGCATTTCATATCAACAGAGTATAATATTATTCCTAGTCTTTTTTTACTATTTTTTTTCCTAACTTCTTTCTATAATACTAAAGAAACCGTATGAAATTGAGTTTTGAAACTAAGAGCTCATTTTTCTATTTTTAAAAGCTGTTTTTTATTTTTAAAAATAAAAAAAATAAAAAAATTTGTTTGGATAAGTTTTTTTATTTAATTGTTTTTAAAACTGTTTTCCTTTTTAATTTTTAAAAATAAGAAAATAGAAACAACTTTAAATTATTTTTGTGTTTTTTTAAAATACAATACATTTGATGGTTAAAAATTATAGTTACTTTAATAAATTTTTTTTATTAATCATAATCATTAAATGCCTATAACTATCACTATCAGTATATTTTTTAAATTTTAAAATTGTTTTAAAATTAACATAATTAAACAGATTTTCATTTTATTTTATTTTAAAAACACTTTTAAGAACTGCATTAGAAAATAATTTTTAAAAATAAAAAAATTAAAAAAAATCAAACAGGTCCTAAATTACCGCATCTTGAAGTTTGGTTAGTTTGCTACTCCCCCGTTCACACTCGCCTTTTATCGTTTGTGAAGGAGGAATGAAGGATAGTTACGCCTGCGCCATGCAATCGTAAAGTGGAGAATACTCGTGTCGCTCGCTTTGTGGAAGAAGCTCCCATAATTTTCATTTAATATATTATATAACTAAATAAGGGATGACTATATTGGTATTATGATGGTAATATATATATATATATATATTAATCGTATTTGTCATTTCTGAAGAATCACACACATGGATCGTTCACACTTGGAAATGGAAATAACAGAGTATTCTGCGATTCAAGCAGCGAGCATCTTCTTTATTTCATTGCGCCCTTTCTTTAACACGCCTCTATTTAGTAATTGATTAAACCTGAGTGGGGCCCGACTGATGCTTGACGTGGAACCGTGACGTGATTAGTCAGGGCCGACTCTGTGGTGGACCCCACAGGTTGGCTCTCTCTTTAATTTTTGTTTTGTCGGATATATGCATGTATGGAGTTAAATTGATAAAGTTGGCCCCCAAAAAAAAAAAAAAAAAACGCAGCAACAGCGCGTGAAGAACACGTTCGAAGGATGGCTGTCAGAGGAGGAAAATGGAATTTGCTCCAAAGTAGGGAATGGCCAATGGTACGTGGCAGACACACAGACAGACAGAGCATCCAATTTGATGTTTAGTCCGTCCCTCAATCAAAGTGCCGCATCTTCAATCACGCACTGTTTGACGTGTAAGCTAAAAAAAAAAAAAAAAGAACATCAATC